AAACAAACTCTTCAAAAATTGATTATATTTCTTTAGTTAATGAGTGCAATTGATGAAAAATGCATTATATTCGTTAATAACGAAACAAGCCGAAGAAAATAAGAATGAGAGAATTCTTGGATTTTTCGTTTTTAGAAGTTAGTAGTCATTTTTTTATCGTGTGACATTGACGTATGACAGGTACAAAAAGTAGCAGATGCAACGAAACAAACTCTTCAAAAATTGATTATATTTCTTTAGTTAATGAGTGCAATTGATGAAAAATGCATTATATTCGTTAATAAAGAAACAAGCCGAAGAAAATAAGAATGATAGAATTCATGGATTTTTCGTTTTTAGAAGTTAGTAGTCATTTTTTTATCGTGTGACATTGACGTATGACAGGTACAAAAAGTAGCAGATGCATCGAAACAAACTCTTCAAAAAATTCTTAAATGTCTTTAATTATACACAGATAAACAAATAGGCGATATAACGGAACAAACTAATGTAATTTATAATTATTTATATTTTATTAAGATAAAGTAAGATAATATTGCATAATATTCATTTATAGGAGACAAGATGAAAAAAATAAAGACTGTTAGAATTCTTAAATATTTCATTTTTAAAAGTTGGTAGTGATTTTTTCAATCCTGTGACATTGATATATGACAGAAAAAAATAAAAAGCAGATACAACGAAACAAATTCTTATGTAATAACTTACTATTATATTTATTTAATGATTAATACATGAAATTGATAGAAATTTCACTATATTTCAGAATTAAATTGCACTAAATGAAGTTCTTGTTGTTATTGATTATTTATTTTCGCAAAATTCCCGTTAATATCAAACTTATTATGGCGATAACCATTTAAATTTTTACGCATAATTAACGGTTTTAGCTAGCGCTTAAAAAACCTGTATTCTAAAATCTACAAAGCACATAATTAACCAAAAAGGAATGCGGTACATTTCAATTATACATAACAAATAACAATTTGCGACACCCGTTGTAGAAATACGAAAGCTCTTAGGTCAGTTATGAATAATTTAATCGATCAAAAAAAAAACGAAACATAACCGTACACCGGCGTATCCCTTTACATATTATACAGGGTGTCCCGCATAATAATCGATACAGAAGGTAAATGCATCAGGTGAGGCTAATAAAATGAACACAGCCAACTTGTCTATTATCGACGATATTAAGTAATATTGATTGTGTATCTACAGGACTTTATTTTTAAAATTTTAAAGTGAAGTTACCTACGAATTGAACTAGTAGTTTACGAGCCGGCTTGTTGCAATGTTGCCGGTTTGTAACTTGTAACTTGTAATTGAAATCCTTTATAAAGTTCGTAAGTTTTAATATTAGTAATTTTTAGTAATTTCCACGCAGTTCAAAATTTCCCTAGTATGTTTATTCTGCTGTTTGACTAGAGGAATTTTAACTAACTAAAACTAACTAAAACTTTAAATAACTAAAACAGATGAAACTGTTTACAAAATTTTAGGGTACCAACAATAGGTCACAGTCTAACAGAAAATAGAGGTAAAACATTGCATGTTGCTAAGCTATTTTTTACAATTTCCTTCTGATATATTTTTTATTTTCATGTTGTTGTTAATCCTTATGTAATCATCTTAATACTAAAACTAATGGTATTTACATTCTTAAAAATACACCCACAACATCTAATAAATTGCAAGTTTAAGAAATATAGTTTCAAAATGTGACCTGTACAGGGTGTCCCTGAAAGTGTGGGAAATCCCTCTGATCCATATAGAACATGAAAAAATAAGATGAGAAATTCCTATGGATTTCCTAGGCAGGTCCAAATGGTTCTTGAGCGTTTTAAATAATTCTAGACAGTTCAAAATGATTCTGGAGTGTTCCAAATGATTCTAAATAGTTATAAATGATTCTAAATCGTTCAGAATTATTCTGGGGCGTTCCAGATGATTCTAGACTGTTCTAAATTCGTCGGAAGCGTTCTAAATGAATCTAGACAATTCTAAATGGTTCTGGAGCGTTTTAAAAGATTTTAGACATTTCTAAATGATTATAGACAGGTCTAAATTATTCTGGACAGTTCTAAATGATTCTGGAGCCTTCTAAACGGTTCTGGAGCGTTCTAATTATTTCTAGACAGTTCTAAATAGTTCTGGAGCCTCGTAAATGATTATAGACTGTTCTATACGATTCTAAACAGTTATAAATGATTGTGGTGCGTTCTAAATAATTTTTGGCGTTCCAAATGACCCTAGTAGACAGTTCTAAATGATTCTAAACAATTCTAATTGATTCTGGAGCGTTCTAAAAGGTTATTGTGAGTGTTCCAAACGGGTCTAGACAGTTCTAAATGGTTCTGTAGCGTTCTAAATGGTTATAGACAGTTCTAAATAGTTCTAGATTGTTGTAAATGATGCTAGACAGTTCAAAATTATTTTAAACAGTTCTAAATGATTCTGGAATATTCTAAATGGTTCTGGAGCGTTTTAAATAATTCTAGACAGTTCTAAATGATTCTAAATAGTTCTAAATGATTATAAATTGTTCAGAATGATTCTGGAGCGTTCCAGATGATTCTAGACTGTTCTAAATTGGTCGGTAGCGTTCTAAATGATTCTGAACAGTTCTAAATTACTCGCGAACGTTATAAACGATTCTAGACAGTTCTAAATGATTCTGGAGCCTTCTAAACGGTTGTGGAACGTTCTAATTTTTTCTAGACAGTTCTCAATAGTTCTGGAGCCTCGTAAATGATTCTAGACTGTTCTAAATGATTCTAAACAGTTATAAATGATTGTGGTTCGTTCTAAATAACTTTTGGAGTTTCAAATGATTCTAGTAGACAGTTCTAAATGATTCTAAACAATTCTTATTGATTCTGAAGCGTTCTAAAAGGTTATTATGAGTGTTCCAAATGGTTCTAGACAGTTCTAAATAGTTCTGGAGTGTTGTAAATGATTCTAGACAGTTCTAAATTATTTTAAACAGTTCTAAATGATTCTGGAATGTTCTAAATGGTTCTGGAGTGTTTTAAATGATTCTAGATGGTTTTAGATTTTTGGCGTTTCAAATGACTAGACAGTTCTAAATGGTTCTGTAGCGTTCCAATTAGTTATTTTAAGTTTATGTGTTACTGAGATGATTATTTTTTATTTCAAAGTTGCAAACTCCACTTTGACTGCCCATAACTTCTCAGTAATTCGTCAATTTAACATTGTATTTTAGTCACATTTTCTTTGGCTCCCCTGCACGCCCCACTCCCCCCATCCGCGTCGGCTCTTACGCGGGACACCCTGTATGCAGGGTGGTCCTCTAAGAACGGCTCTCGGCCATATCTCGCAAACTAATTGTTGTAGAGACTTGCGGTAAAAAATCTTAGGACTAAATCGGCCAAAAGAAAATGCTGGAAATAATGTTCCTAAAATGGCCGCTAGAGGGAGTATCCGCCATCTTGATTTTTAAGTCATTTTTTCCAAAATTTTCCTAATTAAATGTAGCAAAAATGTGTTTTATTTTGATAGTTAAGATAATTTCGATTATTTTTTCTTATATATTTTTGACTCTATCTTTTAAAATAAAGTGGTGGGGGTGGTTTGAATTTTTTGACTAATAAATGTTAATAAATTTTAAACAGCCGAACCGATTTTCAAATAAATGAAATTTTTGAAAAGGGCTTTCTTTGGTCTATAATTTACAGTATATAAGATATTATTTTAATTGCTTGCTTGGCCGCAAGATGGCGTTTTTCGACATTACTTCCAGGGCCTAGACAGCCTTATGAGAAATTTTAGACTTTCATTTAGTTTCGGCGCTATTGATAGATGGCGCAACAGTAGTTTATTTCAGGTCAGCGCAAGCAACCCGCTCAACGCCGTATTTCAAAAACAATAATGGCGTCTTGTATTGATTCGCATCGATTCTGCATATTTTCTCTTGTAGTGCAAGATGAAGTTAAAACCGAAAAGTTATTTTTTTTCATTTATTTCGTTTGTTTTCGAGTGAGTTTAAAAGGCATTGTTATTGCCTGTAAGTTGTATAAGTTTTGTGTATAGTAGTGTTAGTGAATTGTTAGTGAGGAATTGTGTAAAGTTAAAGTTAAATCTTTCGTTCTATTGCTTGTTTTTACAGCGCGTAGTGAATTTTTCTGGTTCCGCCATAATATTTGTTTATTTAGCGATTTTATTTAAATTTAATGAATTTTGACATTTTTTTCAATATATTTTTAAGTAGAAGTGTTTGTGTTTACTTATTTTATGAGAGTAGTTACTTTTTATATTATCCAATTTCTTGTAAAACTTGTACAATTTATTTTACTATCTATATCAAAATTCTATACATTTTATAATAATGTAACAAATTGTACAAGTTCTACAAGAAATTGGATAATATTAAAAGTCAGAAAAAATCGAATAAAAAACCTATATTACTAATTTTAGTGTAGAGTTCTACATGATATCCCCTTTTACTAGGCAACACCCATTAATTTAGTACAGCTACTACTCTCAGAGTGCGCTCTACAACGTCTACGAAATTCTCACGGAGATGTCCCTTCTTGTTTATGTATGTTCTGTGATTACTTCAAAAAACACGGATTTATCCGGATTTATCGGATTTATTTTAAAAGATAGAGTCAAAAATTTATAACAAAAAAAAATCGAAATTATCTTAACTATCAAAATAAAACACATTTTTGCTACATTTAATTAGGAAAATTTTGGAAAAAAAATGACTTTTAAAAATCAAGATGGCGAATACTCCCTCTAGCGGCCATTTTAGGAACTTAAAAATTATTACCAGCATTTTCTTTTGGTCGATTTAGTCATAAGATTTTTTACCGCAAGTCTATATAGGACAATTAGTTTGCGAGATATGGCCGAGAGCCGTTCTTAGAGGACCACCCTGTATACATACCTATAGAAACGCAACGCGCAAAAACTCGTAATAAATATTCCAATAAATAATTTATAAAGGTAAATAGATAAATGAAAATGTGTTCCAGTGTCCGTTTCGATGGGAAACGCCAACAGTACGAGCTCGAATTCGCCGTTAAACAGCCGAACCGGTTCACCGCCCGAAACGAATATGACGGGCGTGGGGGCGACGGGGGCAGCGACTGGGGCGCCCCCCCAACCAACCACCGGTTCCGTTCAAAGTCCCATGGCCGCTTTGATTTCCGTCGCCGACAATCTGCCTCCGGGTAGTCCCCGATCGACGGGCGGCAGTCCGCCCACCAACGTTGCTCCGCGTTCCGCCTCCAGGGGATCACAACATTCGCCCAATTCCACAGGTAATTTTAATACTATATAATCTTCTGTAATGTTCCGAACGGTTCTGAAGCGTTCCGAACACTTCTGAAGGGCTCTGAACAGTTCTAAATAGTTCTGATTAGTTTGGATGCGTTCTTAAATGTCCTGTACACTTCTAAATCGTTTTGAACAATTCTGAACAGTTCTTAATGTTCTAAACCGTTTTTCTAACCGTTTCTAAACAGTCTTGAAGTGTTTTTAATTAATGTTCTGTGCACTTCTGAAATGTTCTGAACAGTTCTGAAGGGCTCTGAACAGTTTTAAATAGTTCTGATTAGATCTGGTGCGTTTTTAAGTGTCCTCTGTACATACATTTCTGAACTGTTCTGATGCGTTCTTGAATGTTCTGTACAGTTTTAAAGAGTTCTGGACAGTGCTGAAGCGTTCCGAACACTTCTGAAGGGCTCTGAACAGTTCTAAATAGTTCTGATTAGATCTGGTGCGTTTTTAAGTGTCCTCTGTACATACATTTTTGAAGCGTTCTGATGCGTTCTTGAATGTTCTGTACAGTTTTAAAGAGTTCTGAACAGTGCTGAAGCGTTCTGAACACTTCTGAAGGGCTCTGAACAGTTATAAATAGTTGTGATTAGATCTGGTGCGTTTTTAAGTGTCCTCTGTACATACATTTCTGAAGCGTTCTGATGCGTTCTTGAATGTTCTGTACAGTTTTAAAGAGTTCTGAACAGTGCTGAAGCGTTCCGAACACTTCTGAAGGGCTCTGAACAGTTCTAAATAGTTCTGATTAGTTTGGATGCGTTCTTAAATGTCCCGAACACTTCTAAATCGTTTTGAACAATTCTGAAGCGTTCTGAATAGTTCTGAACAATTCTGAACAGTTCTGAAACGTTCCTGAATGTTCTAAAACGTTTTTATTAGTCTTGAAATGTTCTTAATTAATGTTCTGTGCACTTCTGAAATGTTCTGAACAGTTCTGAACAGTTCTAAACAGTTCTGAAGCGTTCCGAACACTTCTGAAGGGCTCTGAACAGTTCTAAATAGTTCTGATTAGATCTGGTGCGTTTTTAAGTGTCCTCTGTACATACATTTCTGAAGCGTTCTGATGCGTTCTTGAATGTTCTGTACAGTTTTAAAGAGTTCTGAAGCGTTCTGAACACTTCTGAAGGGCTCTGAACAGTTTTAAATAGTTCTGATTAGTTTGGATGCGTTCTTAAATGTCCTGTACACTTCTAAATCGTTTTGAACAATTCTGAAGCGTTCTGAATAGTTCTGAACAATTCTGAACAGTTCTGAAACGTTCCTGAATGTTCTAAACCGTTTTTATTAGCCTTGAAGTGTTTTTAATTAATGTTCTGTGCACTTCTGAAGCGTTCTGAACAGTTCTGAAGGGTTCCGAACTGTTCTGAAGGGCTCTGAAGAGTTCTGAACAGTTCTGAAGCTTTCCTGATTGTTCTAAACAGTCCTTATTAGTCCTGAAGTGTTCTTAATTAATGTTCTGTACGCTTTTGAAGCGTTCCGAACAGCTCCGAAGGGTTCCGAACACATCTAAAGGGTTCCGAACACATATGAAGGGTTCTAAACCGTTCTGATTAGTTCTGATGCGTTCTTAAATGTCCTGTACATTTCTGAAGCGTTCGGATTACTTCTGAAGTATTCTTAAACGTCCTGAACACTTCTGAAGCTTTCTGAACAGTTCTGATTAGTCCTGATGCGTTCCTAAATGTTCTGAACAGTTCTGATTAGTCCTGATGCGTTCCTAAATGTTCTGAACAGTTCTTATTAGTATACTGAAGCGTTCTTAAATGTTCTAAACAGTTCTGAATGGTTCTTAGATACCTTAAACACTTCTGAAGCATTCTGAATAGTTCTGATGCGCTCTTAAATGACCTGTACACTTCTGAAGGATTCAGAACACTTCTAAAGTATTCTGAATAGTTCTGATTAGTTCTGATGCGCTCTTAAATAACCTGTATACTTCTGAAGGATTCAGAACACTCCTAAAGCGTTCTGAACAGTTCTGAAGCGTCCTGATTAGTTCTAAAGTGTTCTAAAATGTCCTGAAGACTTCTGAAGCCTGTTCAGAACGCTTCAGAAGTGTTCTGAATCCTTCAGAAGTATACAGGTCATTTAAGAGCGCATCAGAACTAATCAGAACTATTCAGAATGCTTCAGAAGTGTTTAAGGTATCTAAGAACTCTTCCGAACTGTTTAGAACATTTAAGAACGCTTCAGGACTAATCAGAACTGTATAAAACTTTTAAGAACACTTCAGTACTAATAAGTAATGTTCAGAACGTCAAAAATGTGGCAAATTTATGATGCTGCGTTAATTTTGTGTCCAGGAGTGCATTTACGATATTAATACGTTTTGTACCCATTTTCCAGCGGGTTCGTCGAGCGGCAGGCGCTCCTCGGGCTCGAGGCACGTCTCATCGACGACGGTGACGTCGACCGAAACGGGCGCCGTATCGCAGGGAAACAACGACGCCTTGAACGGCGCCGGCGTCGGCGTCGGCGGCGGCGATAACGGCGCCGCGGCTGCCGCAGCAGCAGCAGCGGCCGCAGCGACGCCCACGGCCGCCGCGACGGCCACGTTGAAGTGCACCATTTGCCACGAACGATTGGAGGACACCCATTTCGTGCAATGTCCGTCGGTGGCGCAGCACAAGTTCTGCTTTCCCTGCAGCAGGGAGAGCATCAAACGGCAGGGCGCCGGTCAGGAGGTACGTGGGGGGGTTTGTACTTACTTGCGGCATACACTGTTGGAAAATAATTCGCGCATAATAGGGAAATCAATGTTAAATTCTTAGCCGGCTGAAATTTCTCGAGAATCCTTCCCACAGTTCGTTCAACCCCGAAATGCCCCCCGCTAAATCATTAGTTTTTGTCAGGACACTTTTCCTCTGTGATCTCGGAATGACAAAAAGTTGTCCAACTTCGCCTCCCAGTGTTCATTCAGCAACCATTCTCTCCTCCTCAGAACGTTTATCAACCGGCTTCTTCTTCAGTATATCGATTATCTTTCGCAGTTAATAATCATATAATAATTTTATATGTATACAGTGTTAGAAAATTATTCGCGCATAATAGGGAAATCAATGTTAAATTCTTAGCCGGCTGAAATTTCTCGAGAATCCTTCCCACAGTTCGTTCAACCCCGAAATGCCCCCCGCTAAATCATTAGTTTTTGTCGGGACACTTTTCCTCTGTGATCTCGGAATGACAAAAAGTTGTCCAACTTCGCCACCCAGTGTTCTTCGTATGAGTAATTAGATTTACCAACCTGTGGTTGGAATTCAGCAACCATTTTCTTTTCCTCAGGACTTTTATCAACCGGCTTCTTCTTCAGTTTATCAATTATCTTTCGCAGTTAATAATCATATAATAATTTTATATGTATACAGTGTTAGAAAATTATTCGCGCATAATAGGGAAATCAATGTTAAATTCTTAGCCGGCTGAAATCCAGTCTACCAGTGTACATTTCAATAGAACGTCGCGATCAATTCTAATAAATTTAATTGTTCTACTGGACTTCACACCGCGCTTTGGCTTGGTTAGATTAAAAATCAAATAATTTTGACGGTTTCGACACTACGACAGTATCAAAACGGGTTCGGATGAGTGAACGTCGAGTCGATTAAAAAGAAATGAGAATTTTTAAACGATAATTTATTGAAAAAATATCACTAATATTCAAATAGAATTATGTAGATATGTACATATTTATGCCACAATGGCTTGAAAAAGAAAGTAAATTCTAAGAAAATAATAAAAAGGAAACTCCAAAAATAAACTTAAAGATTATTTTAAAACAGAAAATAAAAGAACTCTAAAAAATAGTCTACCGCTTTCTGCTAAACAATAGACAAACCTGTCATACAGATGTCAACCCATATTACTGAGCTGAGGTATAATTCTAGCTGAAAATTGAATTATTTTTTCTCTTATTTCAACAAGATTTTGTTGCTTTTTCAAAACTGTACCTACCGATACACACATTTTTTTGAAATATCCACAAAAAACCTATTAAATGTAGTTTCTAAATAATTTTGTACCTCATACCTAACACAAATAACTTTGTACCTCTACAAATCGCGGCGTGCGATCTAGTAAAACAATTAAATTTATTAGAATTGATCGCAACGTTCTATTTAAATGTACACTGGTAGACTGGATTTTAGCAGGCTAAGAATTTAACATTGATTTCCCTATTATGCGTGAATAATTTTCTAACAGTGTATTAACTAATATACTGCTAACTTCCATTCCATCCATTCCATGAGAGAAAATCTTAGCGATTAAAGAGAGAGATCCGACCCACTGTGGTGTGCTTAGTCGTTTATACGCAAGCGCGTTAATTTTAAAAGGACCAATAGCGAGTAGCTGAGGCCTAAAAAAAAAAGAAAGAAAATAATACTTGAAATCGTGTTTAAATTCGGTAACCTGCCATATTTACACACGCAAGTCGAAGTCGATTTTAAAAATATATCAAAAAATATACCAAAATAAAACCTAGCACGTTTCTGACGTTTCATTTGCTGTGTCAAAAGTAGCCAATCAAAACGCATCTTTCACTTGAGCATGCGCATAAATAAGCAAGCACACCACAGTATAATGTTTGCTACGGTTTTACACCATTATTAGCGGTATAGTAGTAATAGGTATATTCGGACTTGCGGTGTATTCGGGGGGTTGGCGTAAATTGGGCGCTGGGGTATACAATGTGTCTCAAAATTGATGCTTTGATTATTCATTAGTACACTAAAACAATACAGAATAGAGTAAGATTAGGGTTAAGTAGATTCAGAAGTGACAAGATTGAGGTAGAGTAGAGTATAACAGATTCAAAATGGAAATGGATTCAGATTCAAACATTCAGAAACAGATTCAAAATGGATTCAAAATTAGATTAGATTCAGAATAGAGTAGAGTAGAGTAGATTTAGAATATAATGGAGTAGGTTAGGGTAGGGTAGAGTAGAGTAAATTCAGAATAGAATAGAGCGGGGTAGAGTAGATTCAGAAAAGAGTAGATTAGCGTGGAGTAGAGTAAATTCAGAATAGAGTGGAGTAAACTAGATTGTGAATAGAACAGGGTCGAATAGAATAAAGCAGAATCCAAATGGATTAGATTAGAGTAGATTTAGAATATAATGGAGTAGGTTAGGGTAGGGTAGAGTAGAGTATATTCAGAATAGAATAGATCGGGGTAGAGTAGATTTAGAAAATAGTAGATTAGAGTATATTCAGAATAGAATAGATCGGGGTAGAGTAGATTCAGAAAAGAGTAGTTTAGCGTGGAGTAGACTAAATTCAGAATAGAGTGGAGTAAACTAGATTGTGAATTGAACAGGGTCGAATAGAGTAAAGCTAAATCCAAATGGATTAGATTAGATTCAGAATAGAGTAGAATAGATTTAGAATATAATGGAGTAGGTTAGGATAGGGTAGAGTAGATTCAGAATAGAATAGAGCGGGGTAGAGTAGATTCAGAAAAGAGTAGTTTAGCGTGGAGTAGAGTAAATTCAGAATAGAGTGGAGTAAACTAGATTGTGAATTGAACAGGGTCGAATAGAGTAAAGCAGAATCCAAATGGATTAGATTAGATTAGATTCAGAATAGATTAGAGTAGATTTAGAATATAATGGAGTAGGTTAGGGTAGGGTAGAGTAAATTCAGAATAGAGCGGAGTAAACTAGATTGCGAATAGAATAAGCTATAATAGAGTAAAGCGGAATCAAAATGGATTAGATTAGATTCAGAATAGAGTACAGTAGATTAAAAATATTATAGAGTAGGGTAAAGTAGACTTAGATTAGAGAATAGTAAATATAATTGAATAGAGTAGAATAGATCCGGAATAGTGTAGAGAAGATTAAGGTAAAGTATATTCAGAAAAGAGTAGATTCTCGTGGAGTAAATTAGTTTGTGAATATAGAGTAGATTCTGGGTAGAGTAGAGTAGATTCAGAATGGGTTTTATACGTACAATAGGGAGAAAATTAAAGAACATTAGATTGCGAATAGAATAGGGTAAAGTAGAGACTGAATCTGATTCAAAATGAAGTAGATTAGAGCCGTAATAGAGCAGAGTAGATTCGGAATAGATTAGAGTAAATATAGAGTGGAATAAAGTAGAGAAGATTAGGGTAAAGTAGAGTATAGTAGATTCAAGATATAGTCGATCCGGAATAGTGTAGATTATATTAGAGAAGATTAGATTTAGAATAGAGTAGGGTAGAGTAGAGATTCAGAATGGAGTAGATTAAATTCAAAATTGAATAAAGTAGAGCAAATAGAGTGAAATAGAGTAGAGAAGATTAGGGTAGAGTAGAGTATAGTAGATTCAAGATAGAGTAGAGTAGATCCAAAATAGTGTAGATTAAATTCAGAATAGAGTAGAGTGGAGCAGAGCAGGATACATTCAGAATATACGAGTAGTAGATTAGCGTAGAGCAGAGTAGAGTAAATTCTGAATAGAGTAGATTAGAGTAGAGTACATTCAGAATAGAGTAAAGTAGAACAGAATAGAGTAAATTAAAGTAGAAAGGAAGAGAAGAGGGTAGAGCAGATGGGAGTATAATGGAAGAGAAGAGAGTAGGGCAGAGCAGAAGAGTGTAAAGAATAGTAGATTCAGAATAGAGTAAAGTAGAGCAGAATAAAGTAAAGTGGAAGAAAAGAGAGTAAAAAAGAATAGGTTAAGAATAAAGTAGATTAGGGTATGATAGAGCAGAAGAGAGTAAAGAAGAGAAGAAGCGAGTAGAGTAGGGTAGAGCAGAAGAGAGTAGAGTAGATTAGAGTAGAGTACATTCAGAATACAGTTAAGTAGAGTAGAAGTGAAAAGAAGAGGGTAGAGCAGATGGGAGTATAATGGAAGAGAAGAGAGTAGGGTAAAGCAGAAGAGTGTAAAGAATAGTAGATTCAGAATAGAGTAAAGTAGAGCAGAATAAAGTAAAGTGGTAGAGAAGAGAGTAAAGAAGAGTAGGTTAAGAATAAAGTAGATTAGGGTATGATAGAACAGAAGAGAGTTAAGAAGAGAAGAAGCAAGTAGAGCAGAAGTAGAGCAGAAAAGAGTAGAGTACATTCAGAATACAGTTAAGTAGAGTAGAAGTGAAAAGAAGAGGGTAGAGCAGATGGGAGTAAAAATGGAAGAGAAGAGATTAGGGTAGAGCAGAAGAGTGTAAGGAATAGTAGATTCAGAATAGAGTAAAGTAGAGCAGAATAAAGTAAAGTGGAAGAGAAGTTAAGAATAAAGTAGATTAGGGTATGATAGAGCAGAAGAGAGTAAAGAAGAGAAGAAGCGAGTAGAGCAGAAGTAGAGCAGAAGAGAGTAGAGTAGGGTAGAGCAGAAGATAGTAGAGTAGATTAGAGTAGGAGAGAGTAGAATAAATTAGATTGCGCCCAATTTACCTAATGGAATTCATTCAATCCCTTTTACGGCCAAATTTACAATCAAATTAAATCGAATGAAAAAAAAAAATAATTAATTCGCATTGTTCCAGGTGTATTGCCCGAGCGGCGAAAAATGCCCATTGGCCAATTCGAACATCCCTTGGGCGTTTATGCAGGGCGAAATAGCGACCATATTGGGCGACGATTACAAGGTGAAGAAAGAGAGAGAATCGTAGAAACGACGGTCGAGAGAGAGAAGGCGTTTGTTCGACCGGTGATTCATTATTCAAAGCTCACTTTGCTCGAAAAATGGCGGAGCTCTTTCGGAGCTTTTCGAAGCTTTTCGGAGCTTTTCGAAGAAGAATACGCAAAATAATAAAAAAAAAGGTTGTTTGGTGGAGCGACACAAAAGCGATACTATAAAACAGGGATAAAGGATAAATCGATCGGGAACGGTAAAAATATTACAAAAAAAAAGTAAATAAATAAATAAAAGGATTGTACGAGACAACGGTAGATATGATGTAATAGTCGTGTATATAGGAGAAAGGCTGTGTTAAAAAACAAAACCGTTTCGTTTTTTTTTTTTTAGTTTTCTTCTTATTTTATAATAAGTTTGTACATTCTATACTTTATTGAATTTAATGGGAAATGTGTATAGATTGAAAATAAATAAATAAATAAATAAATAAAGGCTACTTTCGCCGAAACGAGTTTGTACATAAACATATACACCTTGCTTCATTTGCGATTGCAATATGGGTATTTCTATGAGTTGAACAAAGAAAGATTAATAAAATAACAGTTGTTAGAGTGAAAAGTTGCAAATTCTTTGTTATTCCTTTATAAGTGTCTAATTGAAGTTGTCTTTGTTGCACCCATAGCCTATGTTGCAATGAAAAATGAAGCAATCTGTATAGTCGGTGCAAAACAAATATCAATCCACGTCACCTATGATTTACTACGTCATTAGTAGGCGGTGTTGCCGGACTTTTATAGAGTTTAGAAAATCTAAAAAATTTCTAATATTGTCCAATGACAAGCAAAATGACAAGAACAAATTAAAAAAGTCACTGATTCTGGTTATTTTACAAAATTCTGGTGATATTCATAGATTTTGGAAGTCACTAAATTTGGCGATTTTACTAAAATCTGGAAATATTACTAGATTCTGGGGATATTGCTAGATATCTAAATTATTTAAAGCTCAAATTTTGTAATTTCTAACATGTGGTAAACGTAACTACGCAAAAAATTCCAATTTCTTGATTATTTGGCTGAATAGCCTTTAGTAGTTGAGGCTAGTAAAGAAGAAAAATGAAGAAGAAATTGAAAATTAAAAGTACCGATAGGATGACAACTGCAAATATGCAACTTGACAGTCAGTTCCTACCAACCGAATGTAAGAAAATGATAATAATTTTATACACAAACGTTGAATTTTGCCAATATATATTTTTTTGTATGATTTAATTCTGCTTTTTGACATTTTCTATAATCCCTTGTTAGAATGTAATTAATATCTACAGGTATTAAGCTTAATCTATTTTGTGTATTTATTTATAAAAGTTGGTCACAATGCTTGGCAAGTATGACGTCAGTAGTGACGTGCATTGATATTTGTTTTGCACTGACTATAATCGAGATTGAGAAAATTACTGCATAATTACATAGAGAATATAGAGTGGAAAAGCCGTGTATTCGTAGATGGAACAAATTGAATTTTGCGCATGCTGTCACTTGTCATTTAAGGTAGATAGTATCTTACAGTGTTGCCAAAAGTAGTGGAATTTCACTAGTTTTATGCGATCGTGTCTAGGCCTTTATACACGGTTTGTAGAATAATACAATTAATAATCATTAATTGGGCTTTATATGGCTAAAATGAATGAAATGTTCTATCACTAATAGTATCAAAAATGTTAAATCATAATTAATATACAGTATGTCTGAAAAAGTTTGCAACATATGGGAAACTTTTTTATTGTATGTTTTACGAAAAAAAAAGTTATTCTTTATTAAAATCTCTGCATTCAAAAATAATAATATTTAGGTATTTACATTTGACATTAGATGTACAAGGTGTCTACAAATTGCAAAAAAATATAGGAATATTTCGAAATAAATAATTCCAATTACGTATTTGTCTATTTTAGGCAATTCTTAACAGATAAAGTCAAGGTTTATCAATTTTGCAATGGAATAATGAGTAAAGTAAGCAGTACACCTTAAAATTAATTTTAATATTGCGAGAACAATTTGTAAAAACAACCAAATTTTTTTAAGTAGTATAATCTAATTGCATAGGTATTAAAACATAGTTTTCTATTTCAAACAACTTTTCATATTTAAAGTTTTCGATATTGTAAAAATAAAGGTACTTTACTCTTGTATTAAATCAATATTTTGTTGACGCAATTGTCAAATTGACATTTGACATTTGCGTTTTATTTTATTGGCAATGCAGAACTTTTTATAAAGAATAACTTTTGTTGCCAACTTTTTCAGACATACTGTATATTATTATCTTGAATTTTCTATCTACTACGCACTTACTGCTTTATTTTTCAATTTTTCTTGGAAAAAATAATGATTATTCTTCATTTATATGATTTGAAAAATGCAATAATATAAAAGAAAAGTAAGTAATAAAGGTTCAAATAATTGAAAACGGCCAAAAATTGTTAAAAGAAATCATTTGTAACATTCAACGCTTGTAAAAAAACCGAACAAAACGATTACTGTCGCGTTTTGACTTTTCTACCTTAAATGACATGACAAAATGTCAAAATTGTCAAATCTGTCAAATTCAATTTTACCACTCTATATTTTATTTCTCTATGCTTAATTACAATAATTTCTTTCTTCTTTTTCATTTCACACACACACACACACACACACACACACACACATCTTATTTTTGTATGTATAATAATTTATCGACAAATGTACAAAATATCATATAAAACGTAGGTGTAAGTTTAGATTTATATTTTTTTTCTTCGTTTCACGTAGCGTGGCTGTAAATTTGTAAGGCCTGCTGTCGTGATTAGTAAAAGGCCATAAAACGTTTGAGGGGCATTTTCTTACAAAAGCTGTAAATATTGTATATTCATCAGCTGATTTGATTAGGCGTGAAAAGATTTTCCGGTAAATCTGCCATTTAATAGGCTATAATAATACATAATAATAATTAATAATAATTATAATATAATAATATATTCGTTTATTTTTGTGGTAAATTTCGCTTTTAATTTATGGAAAGTACACTAGTCAAACACGATGAAATGTGGATTTAAACACACTTCATTAATAGGAACTACAAAACTCGCTGGTAATTTAAGAACAATATTTAAAGAAAAAAAAAATGATTAAGGATAATGTAATATTGTTTTTAGGGCACACTTGAATTGCGATCATGCGCCATATTGGATTTATTGAAATGTCGCCAACTAGATTTTTGTATTGTACTAATTTAGAAACGAATCGAATTTTACACTTACCCCCCGTATTCGAAAGTTTTATTATAATCAAATGGTTTTTTAACAAACGATTGTAAATCTGCGAATTTTAAACATGGCAACGTTGCTTCTATAAATCTTAAACAAGACGAGAAGAGGTTAGTTTTTTTGTCATTCTTCTGCCATTTAGAACGCTCCAGAATAATCTAGAACTGTTTCAAACAATCAAGAACACTCCGGAATCATTCAGAACAGTCTAGTACCATTTAGAACGCTCTAGACTCATTCAGAACTGTCCAGGACAATTCAGAGCGCTCCAGAGCCATTTAGAACGCTCCAGAACCATTTGGAAGTTTCCGCACACTTAAGAACAATTTAGAACTCTCCAGACTCATTTAGAATGCTCAAGATTCATTTAGAACAATTTAAAACTCTCCACACTCATTTGGAGTGGTCTAGAAACATTCAGATTCATTTAGAATGTTTCAGATTCATTAAGAACAATTTAGAACTCTCCAGACTTATTTAGAATGCTCCATATTCATTCAGAATAATTTGGAACTCTCCAGACTCATTTAGAATGCTCCAGATTCATTTAGAACAATTTAGAACTCTCCAGATTAGTTTAGAACTCTCCAGACTCATTTAGAATGCTCCATATTCATTCAGAATAATTTAGAACTCTCCAGATTCATTTAGAATGCTCCATATTCATTCAGAATAATTTAGAACTCTTCAGGCTCATTTAGAACTCTCCATGCTCATTTAGAATGTTCCAGATTCATTTAGAACAATTTAGAACACCCCAGAACCATTTTGAACTGTCTAGAACAATTTAGAATGATCCATAATCATTTAGAACTTTTCAGACTCATTCAGAACTGTCTAGAACTGGTTAAGATTCAAATACGCAACGTTCCCAAATTCGCAATATAATCATTGGTTACAAAACCAATTGGTTATATTTTTTTTTAAATACGGGGGTTATTAGAAATGTAGAATTACTAGAAAAATTCGAGGACTTTTACTTAATCGTTATTCAGCTACTTTATGCAAACATTTTCTCCTAAAGAAAGCTGGAAGATTGGCGATTTTTTTCGAAAAAAAAAAAAATAAACGGGCATTGTTCGCAATTATTTTTGCCGCTAAAAAAAATCTGTCGACTTGATAATAAATAAAAAAAAATAAGTAAAAAAAACTTTTTATCAGACAGATTATGAACGATATGAATTTATGATAATTGATTTTTATTGTCGGTTGAATCTTGGGCGATATAGATGAACGTTTTAGAATTTTCGTGTGTAATTTATACAGTATTTAACCTTAAAAGGTACTTTCTGTAGGAAAAGCTGTAACGTAAAACAGTTTTTAATGTTTTTAATCCAGAAATCGGACGTTCGTAATGAAAACCGTATTACTACACTGTTTTTATCAATAAAAATGTAAAATATTCAATTGTATTTTTCAATCGTTTTATTTCGTTATTTCCTTAGATCATATACAGGGTGATTTGGTCGATCATATACAGGGTAAATTTGGTTATTTAACACCCATATTCTCCAATTTCGGCTTATCAATCGGATAACTGTCAGTCTGTAATCAGTAGTAATCTTATTACTAAATTGGCCAAAAGAAAATGTTGGAAGTTGAAGCATATGTAAAATTTTTAATATCCTCAAAACTATTAGGTTTAGGTATAGGGAAGTAAACACAAACTTCCTATATTTTTTACCGCTGATTTCATTAAAATAGAAAAAAATGGGTGGTTCCGTTTAAAAAAATGAAGATATTTGATATTTTTGAGGTTTAACTTTACGCATGTTTTGTACACACCCTGTATAAAAAGTGTTTCAACGCAGGTTCAAATACCTCTGACCTTTCTAGTAGCCACCCTACAGAAACAATTTCCATATCTTTAAGGGGATCCCCGTAAAAAAATAATTTATAAGGGTCTGCATCGGTCAAATTTTTCAAACAAAAATTATTAACTCGAAAAATACGCATTTTTGAAAATAGTGTTTTAGACAAAAGTACCTTAAAATTTTACGTAGATTTTGAAAATATATTAATATACAGGGTGTTTCATTTAAAATAACAAAGTTGATGCCTACTTCCGGTGTATCCGGAAGTGGTACGACTATCAAAATATTTTTAAGAGATTCGTTTTATTGTATAACATATACATACCAAATATTATTTAAATCGGATAAGTAGTTTCCAATATACAGATAGTTTTCTCGTCGTGGGACACCCTGTATTATACCGTATAATCTCTTCTGTTCCTCTCCAATCTAATCTTTCTTACACCCTTATACTAAATTACCTTATTTCTACTCTAGTTTACTATAGTTCAATCTACTTTACTCCAGTTTACTCTACTTTATTTTACATCCGGCAACATCGCCAAAAGCCCATTGACACGCAATAAGACAATTATTATGACACGTCTCCAAAAAAATCGCCAAATGTCTAAATAAACCAAAAAAAGTCACTTTTTTTTTCTATGCATTCGTAGGAGAGGTTTTTTTTTTAATTTTTTTTCAATCCAGTTTCGAGGGCAAAATTTTCCATTTCGAAGAATAACAAATATAAAAAAAACCAGTAAGCAAAAGGAAATCGCCAAAATCGAAAAGTAAGTAAAAGCAATTAATATATTTTTTTAAATCGATTCTTACTTGTGTCGACAAAGTATAAAATTTAAAAAATATAAAGCATAAAAAATTAATCAAAAATAAAAAAATAAAGGTTTCTACAGGATTCGAACTCGAGGCGTGAGGATTACACACCACTGACCAATGCCTCTGTCAATCCTGCTATCGCAATTTAAAACTAATTATTGCGAAATATCTTACATGAAATGAATCGATTTTCTATAGTTTTTAAATAGGATATAAAGCCAAAATTACTCAATTATTAGTTTAATAAACTAGTTTAATTAACAAATTCAAAAAAATCATATTAAAATCGATGGTCATCCGCTGTAAGTGTAAGTTCACAAAAACCAGCGGATGAACATAAATTATTTTATTAACGATTGATTGAAACTGATCAAAATAGAGAGTACGAAGGAGTTGGAATTGAATAACAAGTAATATAAAAAATATTAGCCATTTCCTACTTAGGTTAACAAAAAATTAAATTTGTAGCACTAAAAAATGATTGATAAATAAAAAATAAACTGGCTTCGACAGGATTCGAACCGGCGGTGTGATGATTACAACCAAACACCTCTACCAACTCTGCCATTGCAATTCGTTATTTACTTGTGTTAAATCTTCTATAAAAAATAAAACGTTTTTCGTCCATATGAAACCATAATAACTCAATTAAAATCACTCAATTAAATTTAATTAATTGAAGAAAAATGGATGGAAATTCAATTTCGGGCGGCGTGGCCAGTCGTACGGTCGACATGATGACGAACGGACATCTGACGGAAGCGGAAATGGCATTCGAAATGTGCCAATTGATCGGGGCCAGGGCCTGCTATGAGGTCGTAAAGGATTCCTTAAAAATCAAAAATATGGTGCAGAAGCAGAAGAAGAGCTACGCCGATTTGCTGTCTTTGCCCAAAAAGTAAGCGTTTTCGAGATGTCCTTGTTTCCATTGTCCTGTTTTCTACGATTAGTGACAGTTCTTTTGCATAGCGGGCTGGTGTAATTGTGCCACGTCCTTGCCCAAAAAATTAAATAAAGAAATATGTAAAATAAAGTTCCAAATGTCCTGGATAGGCCTTTATCCTGAATCCTGAATCCTTTGGTTCGACATAGTTCTTATGCGGGGCTGGCGCAATTGTGCCACGTCCTTGCCCAAAAAATTAAGTAAAGAAATACAGTATGTCCACGGATGGGGTTGCCTATAGGAGAAAAATTTTTATTATTCGTTTTACGACAAAAAGTCATTGTTTATAAAAATTTTTGCTTCTTTTAAAAATGAGAAAAACACTGAAAAATCTTAGATTGGATCTACAGGGTGTTGCCAAATTAAGAAAACATGAAAATACCTCAAGGGAGGAATACCATTATTTTTATTTTACACAAAATTTTTATAAAAGAAAGTTGTTTATAATCTAAAATAAAGCCTGAATACAAATTTGCAAACTTAAATTCAAATTTTGTGTGTCCCTAGATAAAGTTGACCAGATAAGAAAAATGGTTATTATTAATTTTACGACGAAAAGCCATTCTTTATAAAAAAATTAACTTGTCGAGAAAATGAGATTCACATATCAAAACATTAGATAAGACGTATAGGGTGTTAGTAAATTAAGAAACAGGAAAAAATTTCAAGAAAGAACGAAAGAAATTTTATTATCTTACATAAAGAAAGAATTTATTTAATCTCTTACATTATTTACAAAAAAAATGCTTTTAATCCAAAGTAAAGCCTAAACACAAATTTTCAGATAAAAAATACAATTTTTACATTATTAATTTATTTTACGTAGTTGCCTTAAAACATTTAATTCGTGTAATTTGAAAAGGTTTTTAGGCTATAATAATAATGTAAGATAATAAATAAATTCATTCTTTCTTGAAATTTTTTCCTGTTTCTTAATTTACTAACACCCTATACATCTTATCTAATGTTTGGTATGTGAATCCCATTTTCCCAAGAAAGTTTTTTTTTATAAAAAATTACTTTTCGTCGTAAAATTAATAACAACCATTTTTCTTATCTGGTCAACTTTATCTAGGGACACAAAAAATTTGAATTTGAATTTGAAAATTTGTATTCTGGCTTTATTTTAGATTATAAACAACTTTCTTTTATAAAAATTTTGCGTAAAATAAAAAATAATGGTACTTCTCTCTTGAGGTATTTTCATGTTTTCTTAGTTTGGCAACACCCTGTAGATCCAATCTAAGATTTTCCAATATTATTCTCATTTTTAAAAGAAGCAAAAATTTTTATACACAATGACTTTTTGTCGTAAAACGAATAATAAAAATTTTTTCTCTTATAGGCAACCCCATCCGTGGACAAACTGACAAACTGTATGTAAAATAGAGTTCCAAATGTCCTGGATAGTCCTTTATCCTGAATCCTGAATCATTTCGTTAGAGATAGTTCTTATGCGGGGCTGGCGCAATTGTGCCACGTCCGCTTTCTTTACCCAAAAAGTAATCGTTTTCTTGAGTAAATAAGTTGAGAAAGTGTTCGAAATGGCCTTTATCGCCTTTATGGTCCTTTATCTTGAGTCCTGGGGCAGTTCCTTGACCTGGAAGAGATGTAGTTAATTTGTAATACTGATTAAATATAGTACGATTGGCGCAATTGTGCCACATCCGCTCAATAATGTTACATTATTCCATAGTCCTTCATCTTTAAATCCCGAATCCTTGAGTTAAAGATATAGTTCATTTGGGATATTCAGGATTGAATACAGTGCGATTGGCGCAATTGTACTACAACCGCTCAATAATGCTCCATTATTATCCTTCATCTTTAAATCCTGAATTCTTGAGAAACAGATATAGTTTATTTGTATAGTAATTCTAGTCTTAATCCGATTTGAACCGTTGTACCGGGGACGCGAAATAAATCGCGTTATAAGCGCCGAGAATGCTAAGAAACCCATACTCTCGCATTGCCAATAAGCGCGAATCGCCCCGGTATAGCCGCTGAGCCGCGCTGATGTGGCTCACTTAAGTTTTAAACATCAACTCACCAATAGTTCATATTAATTCTACAACTGGGCGATCACGCGATTTCGGACCGGCAGCTGGCTCGCGGTCGTAAATCACCAAATATTCATCTAATTAATTTCGTTCTTCAGTTTGTTTGTCTTAGATCAGTGGCTCGCGCGGTCTGAAAATTTTTCGCGATTTCTCAAAGCCTTGGTTAAACTTTACTTGTTTTTAAAATTATTAATTTTAACTTATAAAATTTATTTGACATAAAATTTCACTGACAAAGTGAGTACATTAAATATTACCCAAATAATACTTTAATCTATTTAATTTTGATACTAAAAACGGTACATCCATGTGCACCGGTACCTTTGAAGTCGGCGCTAGGCGTTTTTTATGCCATGTCGAATTATGGCTAGAAATAGTATATTCAGAATTGAATAGAGTACGACTGGCGCAATTGTTCCACGTCCACTCAATAAAGTTAAGTTAATATTGGTCCTACATCATTAAATCCTGAATTCTTGAGTTACAGAAATAGTTCATTCGTATTCAGGATAAAATGCAGTACGATTGATGCAATTGCTCCACGTCCACTCAATAATGCTCCCTTAATATTACTCCTTCATCCTTCATCTTTAAATCCTGAATCCTTGAGTTAAAGAAATAGTTCATTTGTATTTAGTATTAAATACAGTTCGACTGGTACAATTGCTCCACGTCCACTCAATAATGCTTCATTAATATTACTCCTTCATCCTTCATCCTTCATCTTTAAATCCTGAATCCTTGAGTTAAAGAAATAGTTCATTTGTATTTAGGATTAAATACAGTTCGACTGGTACAATTGTTCCACGTCCACTCAATAATGCTCCCTTAATATTACTCCTTCATCCTTCATCCTTCATCTTTAAATACAGAATTCTTGAGTTAAAGAAATAGTTCATTTGTATTTAGGATTAAATACAGTTCGACTGGTACAACTGTTCCACGTCCACTCAATAATGCTTCATTAATATTACTCCTTCATCCTTCATCCTTCATCTTTAAATCCTGAATCCTTGATTTAAAGAAATAGTTCATTTGTATTTAGTATTAAATACAGTTCGACTGGTACAATTGCTCCACGTCCACTCAATAATGCTTCATTAATATTACTCCTTCATCCTTCATCCTTCATCTTTAAATCCTGAATCCTTGAGTTAAAGAAATAGTTCATTTGTATTTAGGATTAAATACAGTTCGACTGGTACAATTGTTCCACGTCCACTCAATAATGCTCCCTTAATATTACTCCTTCATCCTTCATCCTTCATCTTTAAACACAGAATTCTTGAGTTAAAGAAATAGTTCATTTGTATTTAGGATTAAATACAGTTCGACTGGTACAACTGTTCCACGTCCACTCAATAATGCTTCATTAATATTACTCCTTCATCCTTCATCCTTCATCTTTAAATCCTGAATCCTTGATTTAAAGAAATAGTTCATTTGTATTTAGTATTAAATACAGTTCGACTGGTACAATTGCTCCACGTCCACTCAATAATGCTTCATTAATATTACTCCTTCATCCTTCATCCTTCATCTTTAAATCCTGAATCCTTGAGTTAAAGAAATAGTTCATTTGTATTTAGGATTAAATACAGTTCGACTGGTACAATTGTTCCACGTCCACTCAATAATGCTTCATTAATATTACTCCTTCATCCTTCATCCTTCATCTTTAAATCCTGAATCCTTGAGTTAAAGAAATAGTTCATTTGTATTTAGGATTAAATACAGTTCGACTGGTACAATTGTTCCACGTCCACTCAATAATGCTCCCTTAATATTACTCCTTCATCCTTCATCCTTCATCTTTAAACACAGAATTCTTGAGTTAAAGAAATAGTTCATTTGTATTTAGGATTAAATACAGTTCGACTGGTACAACTGTTCCACGTCCACTCAATAATGCTTCATTAATATTACTCCTTCATCCTTCATCCTTCATCTTTAAATCCTGAATCCTTGAGTTAAAGAAATAGTTCATTTGTATTTAGTATTAAATACAGTTCGACTGGTACAATTGCTCCACGTCCACTCAATAATGCTTCATTAATATTACTCCTTCATCCTTCATCCTTCATCTTTAAATCCTGAATCCTTGAGTTAAAGAAATAGTTCATTTGTATTTAGGATTAAATACAGTTCGACTGGTACAATTGTTCCACGTCCACTCAATAATGCTCCCTTAATATTACTCCTTCATCCTTCATCCTTCATCTTTAAACACAGAATTCTTGAGTTAAAGAAATAGTTCATTTGTATTTAGGATTAAATACAGTTCGACTGGTACAATTGTTCCACGTCCACTCAATAATGCTTCATTAATATTACTCCTTCATCCTTCATCCTTCATCTTTAAATCCTGAATCCTTGAGTTAAAGAAATAGTTCATTTGTATTTAGGATTAAATACAGTTCGACTGGTACAATTGTTCCACGTCCACTCAATAATGCTTCATTAATATTACTCCTTCATCCTTCATCCTTCATCTTTAAATCCTGAATCCTTGAGTTAAAGAAATAGTTCATTTGTATTTAGGATTAAATACAGTTCGACTGGTACAATTGTTCCACGTCCACTCAATAATGCTCCCTTAATATTACTCCTTCATCCTTCATCCTTCATCTTTAAACACAGAATTCTTGAGTTAAAGAAATAGTTCATTTGTATTTAGGATTAAATACAGTTCGACTGGTACAACTGTTCCACGTCCACTCAATAATGCTTCATTAATATTACTCCTTCATCCTTCATCCTTCATCTTTAAATCCTGAATCCTTGAGTTAAAGAAATAGTTCATTTGTATTTAGTATTAAATACAGTTCGACTGGTACAATTGCTCCACGTCCACTCAATAATGCTTCATTAATATTACTCCTTCATCCTTCATCC